TTCTAGAAAACGATCTGCCAGACTTCTTCCTGTGGGGTTACTTAAAAGAAAAAGTTTACGCTGCAATTCCTACAACTCCGGAGGACATGGTGGAGCCAGAATTCATTACCCGCATTAAAAAATGTGTGGAAATGAAAGAATGACATTTTGAACATTTGTTATAAATTGTTTTCAGAGCCGACTATTGTTGATTTAATGTTAAGTTTTGTTTTTCAAACGTTTCAAATAATACATTTTACAAGGAAACTCAATTTTCTTAAATTTTGAATTACAGCGCCATCTGTTGATAAATTGAAAAAAAGTTTTAAATAAAAGTTATTCATTTTTTTATGTACTACTAAAATCTGTGAAAAAAATCGGGTCATTCCATTTGACTTTCTAAAGTTACCCCCCGTTTCACCCTTAAGGAGGGGTAGGGGGTGGCTAGCGGAAGCACCAAATAATGTCCCCTTTGGTAACATTAACCTTTTATTAAAGACATTTTTCTGTGAAATGCGTATTTCACGAGATATTGAGCTGTCTCAAGTTAAAAGAAACACCTATGTATACTAGATGTAACTACTCCACATAGATCCAACCATTTAATTCAATTGCGCGACATTTTCGGCGTAAAAAGTCTTACTTCATTAGTATGGTCTTGGCACACATTTTTTTTTATTTCCAGTTTAAATTTCTATACAAAAAAATATAAACGAATTCGTATTTCATTCCAAATAATTTTTGTATTCATACTTAGGTACTTTTACCACGAGAGAAACGAGACGAGACGAGAGAAAGGCACTCTCGAGCGAGAAAAGAGTATTCTCGACGAGACGAGAGACCCATTTTCTCTCGCTGAACGAGACGAGACGAGAGAAGGACTTTTCTCGTCTCGTCTCGTCTCGCGGCATCACTAGTCCTAATGCACACCCTTGCGGAACTCCTTTTAAAAAATCACTATTTAGAATTTAGTTATGGCTAATTTGCCGGAGAAAAATGAATGTGGGTTATGATGAACAATGATCGAAGTAGAACATGAGCAGGTATACTTTTAAGATACGAAAGCTCATCCACCAGAGGCCATATTGTGGTTTATTATTTTTTGACCCACAACATCAAAAAAATGTTTATTACCTCAAGCCAGTGGTTTTAAAATAACAACATTTGTTGAACTTATATTGATGTCAATTAATATTTATTTTGATGAGTATAATTATAATGTAAATAGGCAAAAACGATACGCATTAGTTAATCTTTGTGAAACCAGGTTTTCAATCTTTTTTTTTATTGTAATAATGATCAATTACAGTTTCTAGATGAATTTATCAATGTCATGGTTTGAAATTGTTTCCTCCCATTACTTTTACTATTTTAATATTGACTACCAGTCGAATTCTTTAATAAATATTAAAAAACTGATTGGACCTTAATGTGATCGAGGTAATTTTTTGCATAGAGATAGTAAAAGAAAAAAAACTTTTTTTTTACTTTTCCAGAAAATATACATTTAAGAAAAAAATTGTATATTATGTATCAAGTTTGATAAACGCCATTTTATACACGAGCGAGCTTGCGAGCGAGTGCTTAAATTAATGAGTGTATAGAAAAGTTTATAAACGAGGTTTCTCTACGACAAATACTATCAAAATCAAAAATTTTTATAGAGCGCCATCTATAAAACAATAGGGGATCTGTGTGCCACCGTCAAATGTCAAATTTTTACATTTTATAAACACAATTATAAAGGTTATATATCGAAATGTATTTCTTGAAAATTGACAGTTTTTCACAGTGAAAGTAAAGAAAATGTTTTATGAGCACTTTACAGTGGAGTCCGTGCCCGAATTTAAGTTATAGTTTACTGTCGGTGAAATTAAAAGGTCTGTACAATGTTCATATAAACTTTTCAAATATTGGCGTTGAAAAACTATTTAATACTTTTGTATTTTTGTATTGAGATAATAAAATAATTTTCACAATTATTATTATTTTTTCAAGAAAGGCAATTTATTTTAACGATTGTATGACATCTGACAACTGTCAACTAATTTAAAACCAACTTCAGCCCGTGACTAAAGCGCCATAAAGCCACAACTTGTCAATGTGTATTTAAAAGGTCACTTAGTGTTATGGAAACATGTACGATAAAGGGCGTTTTAAAGGTGGGAGTAGAAAAAATAATTTAAATTACCCTAAAACTTTAATTTTTAAAATTATTAAATATAAGATACGCCCTTATGTAATAATGGGGACGATATGATATGCACGTTAAATATTACCTTCGCATGTCGTCTATAAATGCATCATTTTGTCATCTGCTTTTTTTTCAATCCAAAGTTATCTTATATGATAAGTAGTTCAACTTCATACATATGTTGCCAATTCATAATTTAACCATTTAGTTGTTTTTTTTAAATTTAACTAAACTAATTAAAAAGACATAATAATCTTTGCGGAAGTATATTTTAAACGGTTAAAAATTTATTAAATTGTTATTTTTTCTGACATTCAATTTTAAAAATCAATATATTGTATACAAGCTGATGCATTGTTAAATTGTAGCCATGACATTATTATTTACAATTTCGTTTTAATGATAATTTTTAATATTTGCTACGTACATACTTACACGTATGGAAATGTCACAGTTAAATTGGATATTTTATTAATTTTTATTCCAATCAAATTGTCTATCCTTGAGTTATTGTTAATATTATTAAAATAATTTTCTGCAAAACAATTTATTTAATTGGCATTTATAGGAGTCGAGATGCAATTATTAGTTTATTATTAAAAAAAACAATTATTTTAATGGTATTTATGGTCGTAATTGCTAATGACTTTAAATTCCGGGTTATTTTAGGTTATAGGTACTTAGTTTTTGGTTTGTTTTTCCCTATATACATAGAAAGGCATTTGACGTAAATGTAAGGTATAAAATTCCTGAAGCGAAATCCAATCTACTTGAAAGCTAACATTTGTTTTTCGCATCCATTCAGTGCTTTAGTATTTTTCATTTATCGCCACTAAAATTTAAATATTCTGCATTCTCCCCCAACTGTTATACCCCTACATTTAATCGAGAAAAAAACAAAGAAACAAGTAAAACAATGATTAATTTTCGGTACTTTTTATCGGGAAATTATTAAATGTACTCTTTTTAAAGATTTATAAGGTAAAACGTTTCAGGGTAGAAGCCGAGCTCATCCGTAATATTTGTATTCACCGCTGGGTACATCAATATAAAGAGCATGCTTTTGAAATTTATCTCGGAAACAGCCAAAGGGTTGCTTCGAAAGCCTTTCCGTCCATATATATTCGTCTACCGTTTCATATACTCTCTCATAAAATGGGGTCACAATTTTACCTTAAAAGTATTACGTTATTTTTTACTTAATTTTTTACCCGGATTTATTTTTTCCCATCTATATACAACTCTTTTACATCAATAATTTTTACACGAAAATAACATTTTTACCTTACAATTATTTATTATCATTTAAAATATTTTGAAACCAAGAAGACACTGACAAGCCCTTTCATTTGATACCCATGTCAAGGAGGTTGGGAAGAAATAGTTAATCCGCCATCTTGGATTTAGTATGACGTCACTTTATCGTTTTCTACCCGTCAAACCCTTTCATTTGATACCCATATCAAGGAGGTTGGGAAGAAATGGTCAATCCGCCATCTTGGATTTAGTATGACGTCACTTTATCGTTTTCTACCCGTCAAACCCTTTCATTTTATACCCATATCAAGGGGGTTGTAAAGAAATAGGTAATCCGCCATCTTGGGTTGGGTTGGGCCGCCATATTGGATTTACTATGACGTCAATCAGTCCATAGTATTCTACACGTCAAACCCTTTCATTTGATAACCAGGTCAAGCAGGTTGTGAAAAAAATAGTTAATCCGCCATCTTAAGGCGCCGCCATATTGGATTTGGTATGACGTCATTTTATCGTTTTCTACTCGTCAAACCCTTTCATTTGATACCCATATCAAGGGGGTTGTGAAGAAATAGGTAATCCGCCATCTTGGGTTGGGTTGGGCCGCCATATTGGATTTAGTATGAAGTCAATCAGCCCATAGTATTCTACAAGTCAAACCCTTTCATTTGATACCCAGGTCAAGGAGATTGTGATGAAATAGTTAATCCGCCATATTGGATTTAGTATGACGTCACTGTTTCATTTGATACCCATATCAAGGGGGTTGTAAAGAAAAAGGCAATCCGACATATTGGATCGACGGCCATTTTGAATAAATCACAATATTGATTGTACTAGCACCAAAAGTGTGTTCAAAATTTTGGCTTAATCGACTTCCTAGATTTGTGGACATAGTTCTGATTGGTTTAGTGCTTTCTATAGAAAGTAAAGTCGCAACCTAAATTAAGTCTTTCTTACGGCAAAAAAAACTTTTTATTATTTTGTATAATTTCTAATAAATGTTTTTGGACATTCCTATCAAGATGTAAATGTAGATAAATAAACAAAATGTGTTGATGTCGTTGAATTAAATTGAAAATGATCGAAAATAAAACGAGCAGAAGCATAAATGAAATAAAATAAATAAAAGACGTGCGTTTACGATGTGAGTGTTGTGAGCTAAATTCGTAGTTTGTTTACATTGAAGTGTTATCTTGTTAATAGTGACTGAGTTCTTGTCGTATTTTTGTCCAAATGTCGCATGGCGAATGTAAATTGAAGGGGCGTCGAATATGACATGCATGCTTATGTTAATAGTAACTTTAACCGTGTATTTTTACTCCCACAATCTGGCACGTGGGTCTTTACTGAATGTGTCACTAAAATAATTTTTGATAATCGACTGACGAGTGCTTCCATTAGTTCGGTACAAAAATACTTTGAAACCATATGATCTTTCTTGCTTCTGTTTTAAGATCTTTAAGGTCTGTCTTTGATCATATTGCTAATATCGTTCTAATAATACATTTTTTAATACACACACACGCACCAGATATGCACCTTATCTTATAATGGGTATTATTTTCAGTGGGCCTCAGTAGCATCATGGTTCTTCAGGCAAGAATCCTCCGTTTTAAACACAATGGCCAACAACAATGTTAAATCCACTATAATTTCCACCAAAGAAAAGTTTAACAGAGAGCAATATCAACCTCCCACTACTTGTCCAGTAAGTACATTAAATATTTGCTTTGTACTTATATTGCAAGAAACCTCACACCTAAATTGATTTATTTTTTATATTGTTTTATTATCGATAGCTGTAATATATTAGAATTCCAAGAAATTGTCGAATATAAAATTCCATTAGTTCGATTTCTAATGTAGATCAATTTATGATACCGATTTTACACTAAAACTCTAAACAAAAAAAAACCTAATTGGTCTAGTTTTAGGGATAAATACTAAAAGCAAAATGCACAAAGGCGAAACAGTAATTAATAACACGAAATAAATTGACTTTAAAAGTGTCAAAATGTACCCTCAACAAAAGATAGTCGACTTGAATAGACGTTTAATGATGACAGGCACTCGAAATTTCACAAAATGACTTTGGAAATTGTTATTGAGTGACATAATACGAATGTATTGAAAAGGGATCTCGAGTGCCCAAGCGACAATCTTCTTTCTAAGGACGCGATTTAATCTGTTGTTCTTTCGCACTACAGAAGTTTATCGTTGCATTTTTTGTGAAACAATTCATGCTTGAAATGTCCATTTTAGTAGTCGTGTTAGTCTTCTTATGGCATTAAAAAATTTTAATTGAGCTACTGGGAAATATTTTTGTTGGACGTTAAAAGGCTCATTAGAAGAAATTGTCATCGTATCGTTGGGATGGCACAAAAGCCGAATTGAAAATGGTATAGAAGTGACACTCGGCGTTTATTGTGAACCTAAGTATCGGTTGGTATTCTTGCAACTCATGGAGAGGTCCAGAGGCAAGAATATCTGTCCTAATCAAGCGGATGACTAGGCTAAATCTTTCCTTTATCGCTTATACGTTGTCACTGGTGCATTTTCAAGTCTTTCGAGCCGACAGCAGTCGTCACAAACGTAAATTACTAAAATTAATGTCGAAAAAAAAAATCTTCTGGGAGATTTTTTAATTAACACCCGAAATTATATGGCACCATTCACAATTGACAACAATTGGACAAAGCAAAGGAAAAAGATACGACCGACCAGTGGCGTACCACTGCAACAGAAAACAAACGCTATTAATTGGTGGTGTACTCCCGCATGTAAAATTAAACGAATAGGTTAATTGGTGTAAAGCCTTAAAAGGGTTAGAGTCACCCTAAACACATTTAATTATTATCATTATTCTAGCATTTAGATCGCAGATATGAAATGTATAATCATGTGAAAATTTGCATTAAAATCAGGTGTCTCAAGCGATAATGAGCGTCAAATTTTTATAATTAATCTACAACACTATATTTTGCATGTTTCTGTAATTTATCCTTTTAATTAAATTGTGTGTTTTAAATAAACCCGGACAAATCCATTAGGCATAGGCACTTGTGTATTAAAACCACGACTGCAGATTTTCCTGAGAGTTTTCCGTGGTTTCAGCTTCCCCTTAACTGCCAAGGGATCAAACTCGACTCGTATTGATCACTAAGGTCAGCCTTCCAACGTTAATTAAATACCAATTGACGCTTTATAATATGTACTTTGGAATATAAGCAAAAAACGTCCAGACGTTAATTAATAATCTCCCCCATTACGATCTTAAAAAAGATTTTTTTCGTTACTTTTACATAATTAATTTCATATATTTTTAGTTTTGAACTACTGTGCGTACTTGTCTTGCCATTTTAAAAATATTCCCACTGTGCGAAACCTTTTTTTAAATTTGAGTTTGGACAAACTCAAATTTAAAAAATGGTTTCGCACAGTGGGAAAAAATTAAAAATGACAAGACAAGTTCGCACAGTAGTTCAAAATTAAATATATGTGGGAAATTATTAGGTTTTTCTATTCTAAATCCCCATCCCGAAGCATAGAACGTTTTTTCAAGCAGTGTACCGCTTTATTAGAAATTTATCACGGTGAAGCTTATTAAGTGTTTTTTTGCTGCCTATTGTGGTGAACTTCGATTTTTCGTCGAATAAAAAAAAGCGGGCCAAAGCATACAAAAATGTCCCTTTTAAAGCTTATTGTTGTCGTTACCCTATAATTTCATTTACACGGCAGTTAATAATGAAGCAGCGGGGAATCGATTATATTTGTTAATTAACTTCTATTATTAGAAAAAGGAACCACAAGTGTCCTTTAGAAAATGAAGAAAAAAAGCTGATAGGCCTGTACCAGTTTGTATCAGCACTTGTTCGCCACGACAAATGGCTTTTCAGCCCAGTTTGTCACATGTATTAACACTTTAGCGACACTTAAAAACCTTTTTATTTTTGTTTGTTTTCGCATGTTTTGTCATATTTGTCTCGTTCCTCTAATTAGAAGCTTTTAAACGTGATAAATAATTACGTCAGTCTGTGCTTGTTTAGATTTTTCGAGCTAAATGTTTCCTTATTTGAGGGAATAATTAATTACAATATTATATATATACAGTTTATTAATTTTACGCGTAAAATTAATAAACTGCTGTGGTCAAATTTTTGTACAACCCATATATTTTTACATTTTTAAATTTTGTATAAAATTCTGGGTAAAATTATTATACCATAGTGAATAGTTTTCGAGTTATTAATTTTTGTAGGATTTATGGAATTTTAAAACGTTGTACACCCTGTATACATGTACCCCTTTGTAATTTAGGTAGCAAATACGTTGCTACGGTAACTAAGCTCTTAATTGGAACCTTTTCACTGTTGTTATTTGAGATTTCTATTTAGGTGTACCCATAATATTTTGGTTATACATGTGTATATATATGTGGGTGCATCATTTCGCGTCGCGAAATTCGAGTAGGTAAATTACAATGGAAATTTTTAATTGAATTTAATTTTCATTTTACCGGTAATATTTTTGTGTATAATGTTTATAAGATGGGAAACGTTTCAGATGGGTCGCGACGATTGACAAGTCGCAAGCGCGCTCGTCACATATATCGGACAGGTATGTAAATTAAACAAGATCCCGTATAAACAAACTAAAAGTTAAATTTAATCCGAAAGACAGTAAATTACATCTAAACGTAAACAAGGATTTATAAAATCAACAGTTCAGGTGTTACAAATGGGGCATAATAAAATTGGGCACGCAATTTGACATTCGCTAGAAGGAGCTATGAATCATGTTGACACTGCAATCTCGGTGAAAGCTTGGACATTATTGCCGAAAATGGGAAACAAAGCAGTGTGACACGTAACTTAAAGGGAACCCCGGGCTTAAGACAGCAATTTGTTAATCGGAACACACCTACGTTAAATAGTGCTTTTTATCACGACATCCAGGAAATTTTTCGCCGATCAATCAATAAATAAATAGCGCATATATCATAGACAACGCGAGTCCATCATTAGGGAAAATTTCAAATCGGATTTTAATGCCCTTATGCGTGTCATCAGGCTAACAAGCTGCACCCCAAACTCATTTCATATTGATACCTACCCAATCACATATTTTTATTTTACATAACTACAAATTCTCATAAAATTTGTATCAAGTATCAACCTAAATCAGAACAATTATCAATGGATTAATAATGCGGAATTGCACATTGTTAAGACGATTTGTTATTAAACACAAACATCTAAATAAAGCAAGTCAACTTTAATGATATATAAACATTGTTATTTAAAATGAAATATTGTTCGTAGGGATATACGTTAACAAGGTTTATGCTAAAGAATATACCCTTTGTTCCAAACCGCAGTCGAACAACAGGTCATAAATACTACAGATAGTAGTAAACTATATTCCAATGACACTTAAAATGAAATCGGTGTCCTAAAGAATATTCGACACACCGTACAGGATTGGAATCGCAAAAATATCAGTATCGCTAATTTTATAAAATTAATCCGCCATATTGAAATTAGATTGACGTCGCTTATTCTGCTCGAGAAACCCTTTCATTTGATACCAATATAATGAAATAGGTATTCCGCCATTTTGGATTTAGTATGACGTCATTCACCGTATCGTTTTCTACTCGTCAAAACCTTTCATTTGATACCCATGTCAAAGAGGTTGTGGTGAAATAGGTGATCCGCCATCTTGGATTTAGTATGACGTCATTCACCGTATCGTGTTCTACTCGTCAAAACTTTTCATTTGATACACATGTCAAGGAGGTTGTGGTGAAAAAGGTGATCCGCCATCTTGGAGCGGCCGCCATATTGGATTTTGAATGACGTTATTCACCTTATCGTTTGTACTAAAATTTAAAGGCGGTAATTTTGAATTAATTACAATATTGAGTATACTAGCTTGTATGGCCACCAGCACCAAAAGTGTGTGCATAGTAAAATTACAAAATGTTGTATTGTATTGCAATTTTAATACGCATTTGTTGTAATATTACATTTTGTTATAGCCAAATTAATAAACAGGTTCCAATTTTACAATGTTTTTGTTTTTGTCAGATACCTACTTATAGTAATTTTACAATTCTGAATTTTAGAATTGAATTTGAAATTTTGTATTAAGATAATCAATAAAATTATTAACCAAAATTTGCTATTTGAATTACAATAAGTGTTTGGAATTATACAAATAATTATTTATTTTATACAACTTCTGTTTGCATTTTTACTACATATCATTTTAATCATGTACACTGTTAAAATTTTTTTGTAAAATAACAATTGTTTTGCAAAACAAAGGATAAGTAAAATTACAAATCAGTGTATACCAATACAAAATTATAATACAATTTGAGTAATCTTCCAAGACATGTTGGGAAATCTACTAAAATAAGTTTTTTTACAATCTATATGTATAAATCCTACACGCATTGTAATTTTACTAAACAGTTTGACAGTTTCTAATAGAAATCTTCTCAGATTGACAAACGTTGTTTGTAATTTGATTTGCTATAATGTTATGTAAAATGCATAGTATGTACCGATTGTTCTTACATCTCGCCTCGGTTGACTTAGGTGGACAGTATAAAAGCTCAGGTGTCTTTTGTTTTTGGTGTGTTCCCATACACCAAATTGCCCGACATTGATATTGATATCTGTCTAGCTGTCTGTCGGTATT